AAGGAAGAAATAGGCAGAAGAAAGGAAGGGTGAAAGAAAATGAAAGGAAGAAATAAGTGGAAGGAAGGGGGAAAGGAAAAGAAGGAAGAAATTGAAAGAAGAAGCCGGCAGAAGCAGGGAAAGTAGATTGGAGGAAAGAAGGAAGAAATTGAAGGAAAGAAAGGAAGAAATGGGCAGAAGGAAGGAAAAAGAAAGAAATAGGTAGAAGGAAGGAAAGTGGGAGGAAGGAAAGAAAGTGAAGGAAAGCAAGAAATTGATGGAAGGAGGAAAGGAAGAAAGGGAAGGACAGGAAGAAATAGGTGGAAGGAAAGAGGAAAGGAAGAACCAGACGGAAGGAAGGAATTGTTGAAAGAAAGAAGAATCACGTGGCAAGCTGGGCAGAGATGCCCCTGGGTTGCAGGTTACAATGGATCAGGGTGGTGGAACCAGACTGTGCCATGCTTCCTTGGCCTTGCCAGGGGATGGGCGAGGACGGAGACAAAAGCAGGTGAGGGAAAGAAAGCTAGAGACCGGGCACTAGAAAGGCAGATGCTGGAAGGGCAACACTCCTGTGGAACGAAGCAATACTGGGATACCGGAACAAGCTCTGGGATAGAGAAGAGAGAACTTGGGACTGGTTATGGCGAACGTATAGAGCTTAAAAAAAAGAAGGAAACATACACTAACTAAGCAGCCCAGCCCTGTTCAGTCAAGAAGCACCGTTTATTCAATACAATACAATACAATAGCAGAGTTGGAAGGGACCTTGGAGGTCTTCTAGTCCAGCCCCCTGCCTAGGCAGGAAACCCTATACTGTTTCAGACAAACGGCTATCCAACATCTTAAAGACTTCCAGTGTTTGAGCATTCACAACTTCTGGAGGCAACTTCTGTTCCACTGATTAATTGTTCTCACTGTCAGGAAATTTCTCCTCGGTTGTAAGTTGCTTCTCTCCTTGATTAGTTTCCACCCATTGCTTCTTGTTCTACACTCAGGTGCCTTGGAGAATAGCTTCACTCCCTCTTCTTTGGGGCAGCCCCTGAGATATTGGAAGACTACTATCATGTCTCCCCTCGTCCTTCTTTTCATTAAATTAACCATGCCCAGTTCCTGCAACTGTTCTT